CAGTTGTTAGCTTAGTGATTGTTTTCTCTGAATTGATTATCTTAATGTTTGAGCATGTCTGTTTTTCACGTAGTTGATTATATACCTCATACAACCTTTTGTAATTCACCTCTAGCTCCTTAAATTTATCAGGCATATCCGTTCTAGAGCAAGTATGGACAGATGAATTAGAGGTACTTACTTCATTGTCAGCATTTCTGTTTTCAGCAGTCAGGGCAGTCGCTACATCAGCATTGGTTGCAGTAGGCAGGTTCTTCTTCTCCTCAGCTTTGTCTTTCTCCTTTTCATCAGCATCCTTCTCTTTCTCTTCTTCTTCAACAATTGCCATCAAGGCCAGATTCTCTTCCTCATCAGAATCATCCATCCAGTGGTCCTTTTCAGCCATGAGGGCACTCTTCTCACTACTTTCTTCCATTGCCAGCAACATCTTCTTTTTGTTCAGATACATCTTCTGCTTATAATATTCGGCATCCTTCCTCCTCTTTGGCATCCTGCAATCCTTCATCAGATGTTCAGTCTTCCCACAATTGAAGCACTTTGGAGCATCCTCAGCAACAATATTTTCAGACGATTCAAAAGATCGCTCTTTTCTCTTGTTGTTGCTGGAGGAGGACTTGCGGAGCTTGTTGTTAGAAGAGTTCTTCTTTTTCTGCATTTGATTGTTGAACCTGGAGGTAAGAAGGGCTATCTGCTTCTGGAAGTCACGAAGCTCATCATCATCAGAATCTTCCCAAAATCCGATGTCGCTGTCTGCGCTCTCACTCTCTTCTGCAATCATCTTGTCTTTCTTGGAACCAGATTTGGATGGTTTGTCAAGCATTAGGGCAAGGGTGTCTGCAAGCTTGTCCACGGCTCCCTTCCCTCTTTCAGCTGTCACAGTAGCTACCGCAAAGTCTTCAAAATCTTCTGTGTATTGGCTCAGCGTGTTGTACACAGCATGAATATCCATCTCATCCAGATCCTTTGTGTGCCTGATCTGCGAAGTCAGCTTTCTCCAGTCAGCTCCAAGTGCAGAAAGGAATCTCACATTCAACTCCATGTTTGACTTATGCACATTAATCTTCCTCATCTCATTTATCAATTGCAGAAATCTCAGGTAGGTGTCTTCGAGTGATTCTCCAAGCTTGGCTTTGAATGAGTCATAAGCAGTGAATGTGCTAGCTTTCTTCGCTTTTACTCCGATCTCAGTGCCTTGCATGATCTTGAAGATCTCATCCCACATCTCTTTTGCAGTTGACATGCTGTCAATCTGCATGTAGATGTCGTTCGGGATGGCCTGCAACAGGTAAGTCTTAGCAATGAGATCTGCACGGAGTCTTGCTCTGTCCTCGTCATCATATTCATCAACAGTCTTGGGTCTCCACTCAATCTCAACAGGTGGGTTGTTTCCGTTGTCTCTCTCAACAGCTATCATCAATTGAGCAGGTCCATTTGTGATAGAGTCAAGAAGACCTGAGGATTGGTCCTTGCTCTCAAGAAAGTTCAGAAATCGGTTCTTCCATACATTGTACTCCCCTCTTCGTAGAATCGGGGGTCTTGTATCGTTTCCAATAGATAGGGCATCCATTTTGAAATTGATCGGGCTGATCAGTTGATTGAATAGGTTCTGTTCTGTTGTTTGGGTCTTCAGTCAGATGTCTTTGTTCAAGTTGCAAAGTGTCTAAATCGGGCAAGGTATTGAAGAATCGCTCAACTTCACTAAGATCGCTCAACTTTACAAACAATCTCTCAACTTTACAAAAAAATCGCTCAAGTTTACAAAAGATCGCTCAACTTATAAAAAGATCGCTCAAGTTGCTAAAGGATCGCTCAAGTGTAAGATTGCTCAACTACAAATCTCTCAACCTGTAAAAAGATCGCTCAACACTAAATAAAAGATCTCTCAACTCAACAAACAATCTCTCAACTTGTGAAAAGATCGCTCAACTTCAGAAAATCTCTCAAGTCCAAAGATGGCGCAGGAGTGATTGCTCAACTTCTGGATCGCGCAAAGAGGTGTGAAGTCCGAAATTGCGCAAGTCCGAGGATCGCGCAGGGGGTGTTTTGCGCGAAACTGGGATCGCTCAATCTGCTGAAATAACGCAACTCCGAGATCGCGCAAGGAGGGTTGCGCGAAGCTCAAAATCGCGCAGATGCTCAGTTGCGCGAACCTGTTCTTCGTTCTGAGAGGTTGCGCGAAAATGCAGGATCTCTCAAATCTGGCTTAACCTGTACGCCAAATTTCAGATCGAGATTTTTCACAGAAATGATCCTAGCAACATTAGAAACCCTTTCCTTCAAGCCATTTCCTGCAAAAACAACAACAAAAATAGAACCAGAAATCGCTCAAGTGCGAAACTTCAACGATGAAGAATCGCGCAGGAGTATTTTCAGCCTTCAATCGATCGATCAGCTCCGGCTCTGATACCAGATGTTAGGTCCCTGTTTTCTAGTCTATAAAATGTATGTATGGAAGACAGATCTGGGAATGAAGCTTTCCATTGATGTGATGAAGAAGTTTACAGAATGATATGAATGTTAGCGTAAAACTTCTATCACGAGAATAGGCACTGCGGCACAGAGAATGTTGAAAAGCTTAACCTAGCCTTTCCCTTAAGGCATATATATAGCCTGACGGGAAAGGTAGGTTTTACAATCATTTGGGCTCCTTTTTCTAGGAGGCCCATACCTAAAAAGGTATAGAACCTTTTATTACAAATTGCCTTAAAAGGCCTATTCATTATTCTAGCTAGTCTATTTAATTAAGATGCTAAATATAAATAGCTAAGAAACATTGATCACAATATAATGAAAATATCTCTAACACAACCATTTTAGACACAACATTTTATTTATTCAAGATTCAAAAATATTGAATAAAGCTCAATCATAGGTTCTTCTTAGGAGATCATGCATTAAGTCAGGTTATTACCACCGTGCTTGGTCGGAGTATGGCTATTCTTTCTATCTTCAACTAAAGGACACACTATCTTCCCAAATGTACAAGTAGGATTATGATGTTTATATTCCCAAAACAAAACTACAATATACTAGCTCTATCTTTCCATTCTACCCTGACATAATTTAACGGGAAAATTATATTTTAATTTTCAATACAAACATAAAAATAGTAAAAATATTGTACGAGTAATTTATAACAAAATCGTAAAAGAATATTAAAAAAAACATTTTCTAAAAATAAAAACAGTACGAAAAAGTAGAAAAACTTTAAAAAAAATTATAGATAAAAAGCATTTAAAAATAAAAAAAAATATAGAAGCCTTTCCCACACCTTCTGCCACCTCCCAATAGTGCTGGACTCGGGCCGGGCGGCCCGGCCCGGTTACTGTTTGTCCCGGCCCGGCCCGGGGCCCGGTGGGTCCACCGGTTCGGTTCGGCCCGGCCCGGCTGCTGGGCGGTTCGGGCCCGGGCCCAGGTTTTGGTGAACCGGCCCGGCCGGTCCGGGCCCGGTCCGGACCGGATTTTTTTTTTTTTTTTTTTTGAAATTTTTTTAAGTTTTAGGTTGGATTAGGTATTTTGGGCCATTTGAGGTGGTTTGGGATGGTTTGGGGTTGAGGGGGAGGGGTAGGGTATTAAATAGGAGAACAAAAAAAAAAAATTAATTGGGCCGGTTCGGCCTGGCCCGGCCCGGTTTGGCCCGGAACCGGGACCGGAACCGGCCACTGGCGGTTCGGGCTTGGGCCTCCCTTTCCTGGCCCGAGGCCCGGCCGGGCCCAGGCTCGAACCGGCCCGAGTCCAGCACTACCTCCCAACAATGCCAGTGTACATCTGATCGGTGAAAAATGTCATTTTATGTAAAAACAAATGCCATTTTTTCCCAAAATGTAATAAAAACGACATTTTTACTCTTCGGAAATATGAATTACTATGTTATAAGTTTATGTTTCAATCATTAATGAAATTTGAATTACATTAAAAAAACAAGGGTGGGATTCGAAATATAGTCCTATTTTGGGAATTTTGAAGCTATACTCTTCTTCTTTCAATTAAAGTTTCATTTAGTCCTATTTGGAGAAATGCCCCCAAGGCCCCAAAATATTATTATACTCCGTACTACGTATAACACAACTTACAACATTTAAGCTCCGTTTTTTTATGTAACAAAAGTACACTTTACGTACGTACTATCTTAAAAAAACATACTCCCTCCGGTTTTATTTAATCTTCACACTTTGACTTCACACAAAATAAGGAAAGAAATTTGACTTTACTGTAGAGTACACTGTTAAGGCACTATTTGGCACTGTAGAGACACTGTTTGGCACTATTGAGACACTGTTTGGCACTGTTTGGCACTGTTTTGATGTAGATTTCTTTGCCAAAAAAGGAAATAAGGAAGTGTGAAGTTTATTTTAGACCGTCCCAAAAAGGAAAGTGTGAAGTTTATTAAAAACCGGAGGAGTAATTATAAATAAGTTAATTATTTTACTATTCTAGAGATACCCGTGCATCGCACGGGTACTTCGTCTAGTATATATATAGGGGGAGAATTCAAATACAGAGCGATCTTTCTGTGCAAAGTGCGAAATATGCACTATTTCATGTTTCACTTTCACTTTTTCGTGCTTCCGCAGCACTCTTTCGCCTTTGTGATTTTGGGCAAATTCGACCAAACCCACGGTGACAATTTGTAAAGGAATTTTATCAATCCAGAACCCGAAAGATACACGAATTATCAATCCGGGACCTAAAAGATGAAATGTATTGGTACAGGACCCGAATGATGAAAAACTATCAATCTTGGACCTAACATTTCATAGGTTTTGATTTATTTATTTTCTTATTAATGCCATTGCTAACTTTTGATAGTTCGTGTATCTTTCAGGTCCTGAACTGATAAAATTCCCTGACAAAAATATGAGAAAATGACAATGAAATCTCCAAGGATTTGTAAATACTAAATAGGAGTAGATTATTTAAGAGTTACAGATCCCCAAGACACTTACAATTAATTTGGTTTACAATTACAATTTACAAAGGGATGTTGTTCTTCATAATTACAATTTACAATATTGCCATTACTATTTAGTACTACGTAACTAACACTTCTACACAACCCATCCAAACAAAGCTTTAGATTATCTCCTCTTCGCATTTAGGAAGTACATAAATAAAAATCTTAACTGGAAACTTTGCCAAAAATATGAGAAAATGACAATGAAATCTCCAAGGATTTGTAAATACTAAATAGGAGTAGATTATTTAAGAGTTACAGATCCCCAAGACACAGTTAATTTGGTTTACAATTACAATTTAGAAAGGGATGCTTGTTCTTCAAGTAGACGACCTGTGCTTTTGGAGAAGCTCGAGGGAAGCATAGCACCTGCCTTTCGATTTTGGCATCTATAAAAGCCGATTCCATGATAACAAGTTTCTCAAGCACGGGAGAGTTTGAAAGGATTGCTTTGACAAAAAGTACTTCCTGTCTTGATGCAAGGAAGGATTCCATCTTTACTGTTTTTAGCATGCCCAGATCTTGATCAGTATTCCCTGAATAGAGGTAAATTTCTGCCAAGTTTGGCATTACAAGGCCTTTAAACATGACATTTTCTTCCAAACTTAGCAGATTACTCCTATTCAAGGAATACAAAACATGATGCTCCTATTTTGGAATTTCAAAACGTTTTTACTCCTATTTAGGGAATTCTCTCATTTTCAAAGGGGAAAGGTGTTAATCGTATATTTGGAAGTAGAGATAAAACTTATTACTACGTACAAGTATAATTAAGCAAATTCATCTCTATTGACATTAAATAAATTAAATAAAATAAATTAAAGACAAAAAATTGTAAATTTAAATTTGTAATTGAAAGATCAAAAAATCAACGGAAATTGTCCTAAATAGGACTAATGAATTCCTAAAAAGCACAAATAGGACTACTACTTTTAAAATTTTCTAAATAGGACTAAACATTGATTTTCTACCCTAAATACCCCTAAGAGTATTAATTCATAATGAAATTCTTTAATTCATAATAAAACCATAAAAAACTTAAAAAAATATTTTAAAAACGTAAAAAAAATATAAAAAATTTATAAAACATTTATAAAATAAAAAATTTAATTTTTTATTTTTTTAATTTTTTTTTTAAAATAATTAAAAATAGTAAAAAACCCATAAAAATGAAAAAAAATGGATACCTTTCCCACCGCCTCCCGCCGCCTCCCAGCACCACCACCTCCGATTGGTGAAATTTCTTCCACTTTTGGTAAAAAATGCCATATTTTTCTGAAAATGACAAAAAGATGGCATAATTACTCTTCAATATGCTAACATTTTCATTGAATATGCCATCATTATGGCATTATTTAAAATGTTGTCATATTTTTCTCCGGTGATGGGAGCTGGTGGTGCTGGGGGTGGCAGGGGTGGTAATGTTTTTTTTTATGATTTTCTTTTTCTTTTCTTTTTTTATTTTTTCTTAAAAAAATATTTTTTTTTATTTTTTTAAAAAATATTTTTATTAATTTTCTATTTTTTTTACGATTTTTAGTATTTTTTTCGATTTTTATTAATTTTTTTATGATTTTATTATTAATTAAAACATTTCACAAATTACAAGGGTATATTTGTCCAAACACACATAAATAGTCCTATTAAAAGAATTTAAAAAATGTAGTCCTATTTGTGCAATTTTGCCACTTTTTAGTCCTATTTAGGGAATTGACTCAAAAATTAAAGAGTTAAAAAAATTAAGATTAATTTTTATGTTAAAATATTAACTCTAGAATATTAAATTGCAAAATTAGTTTTTCGGAATTGATTATATTAATTTTAGTCTTGTTGTGGAATTTCATAATGTTGGACTGTATAACAATTTATTATTATATAAATTAATGATTTATAATTTTGGACTATTATATAACCTTGGACTGCTTTATGTCATACAAAATATATAAATTTAGCGCAAAAAATACTTATTTTTTTACATGACAACCCATATATTAACACTTTGTCGAAAGAATAATAAATATTTAGTAGAGTAAAATGCATAAATGATCCTTGAACTATCATGACTATATCATTTTGGTTCTCGAACTGTTAAATCTATCATTTTGGTGAACTATCATCACCAAAACGATATGTTGATGATAGTTAAGGACTATTTATGCATTTTAATCTATTTAGTAATTAAGTTTTGAAACAATGTTTATACTAACAATTTTAACATGTGATATACAAAAATAAAAAAGGAGAATTGGACACAAGTGTATATCTTTGAACATTTTTAGTCAGGTGAACAACAAAATTCAGTCCTCCGTTGAAGCAAGTACCCAGCTATATAGCCTAACTTTTCCAGATTTATTACAGTAGGAAAATGCTTAGTGTACATTAGTTGTACACAAAACCCCTCCTAGTTGCCTGTGTACACATGCAATTTGTTAAAACAAGGGCAGGAGTTGATGCCAAATTGCATGTGTACACAGAATGTACACATTTTGTGTACATCTTGTGTACACCAAGAATGGTCCATTACAGTAGGGAACATCTCTTGCCAATTAACTTGCTGCTCCTACTGCTACATAATCACGCCCACCCAAACAGTGCGTGCGGGCTGATTTTGTTGTGGTTCAGGGTTCTCATATCTCAAATTCGGATGATCTCTCCAGTCGGGGTTGTAAGTGTTAGAGTGCGGATCGTACCTTTTTTGTTGATGGCCTTGGAAACCCAAGGCGTGGACTTGTTCTTCTTGTAATGTAGGGCATGAATCGGTAGGATGCCCTTGTGTTACACAAATGCCACAGACCTTGACTTCTTGGGTTTTGGGATTCAAAAGAAAGTCTTTTACCAAAGAAGTCAAGTTGGCTACTTGACTCTCCAACGATGGGTTGGACTCTACTGCGGCAACCCTTCGGGTTGAGGACCGCCCATTGTAATATCTAGAATTCTCGACTAACTCCGAGATGAGATTCCTCGCTTGAGAATGGGTTTTGTTGACAATCCCCCCTCCACATGCCGCATTCACCATGCGTCTATCTTGATCCGCAAGACCATCATAGAAGTAAAGGATGAGGTCTTGCTCCGTGTAACCATGGTACGGGCAGCTAGCACATAACTTTTTAAATCTTTCCCAATATTCATATAATGACTCATCATCTTTTTGATCAATGTTGCTTATTTGTTTTTTCAAAGATTATGAGACGGAGGCGGGATAGTACCTTTCCAAGAAGCACTTTTTCATTGCCGCCCATGTGTCTATACTTCCCGAAGGAAGATAGAATAGCCAATCCTTTGTTGTGTCTTTGAGGGAGAATGAAAAAGCCCTCAACTTGATTTGCTCCTCGGTGACTCCATTTGGGCACATGCTCGTGCAAACAATCTGGAATTCCGAGAGATGTTTGTTCGGGTCTTCTCCTCTTAGCCCGTGGAAAGATGGAAGTAGGTGGATGAGCCCGGATTTCAACTCAAATGTGACCCCCGTATCAAGAGTTGGAAAAGTGATACATATGGGTTGTTGATTAAGATTCGGAGCCGTGAGCTCCCTCAATGTTCTCGTTTCGTGAGCCATAGTGATTGGCTCTTCCGTCTCGCTAGAATGAGAGCTAGCACTTGATGATTCCTCTGAAGAAGTATTTGGAAATAAATTCCTAAACCTCTAGAAGGCTTGTTCCGTTTGGGGGTTTGTTTGGTAGGTGATTTCGTTTATAGATCGGGTTCTTACCATATACTCAAAAAAAGCTCGGAAAAGAAATAGAAATCTCTATATTTAAGTAATATATTTTTTTTCTTTTTTTTCTTACAATAAAATAAAAAGAAAAATTAGACGAGTACTTTGTCACGGTGCGTCAAAATAAATTCAATACTAGCACTAATACGTAGTATAGTGAAGTAGAGTTCATATCCACATGGAAAGAAATAATTATCTTTTTACATAAACAAGTAATTAAAAGGGGGGTTTTGATTGAGTGATTTAATTAAATTAAACACGAAGATGAACGACTTATATGAGATTTAATTCAAAGATAAAAAAGACTTGACATTGCTACTTCCCACTTGTTGATATATTTTAGTCGATCATTGTTATATCTAAACTTATCCCCTCTCGAATACTCAATCGAGGAGTATATCCAATTCATCGAGGGTAGTTATTAACAACGACCATTCATTAATAACCCTTACTATTAATCAAGTATAGAACAACGCCATATACCGACTTGATAGTAGCATTTAATCTCTTAACTCCATGATGAAATCAATTGAGATTGATAACCTCAACACAACGGTTGCGGTTTAACCAACAAAATTAACCCCTCTTAAGTTTATTAACCACGACCGTGCATTAATAAACCGAAGTTACTTACTTGTGAAACTATCAACGATTAACCATCTGTTCGTTGATCGTTTCTAGTAATAATTAATATATGAAACAAAACAGGTTGATCCTTTAAGTAATGTTCAAAATATTAATATGAAATATGAATAGGAATTAATTAATACTGAAAGAAGAATATTAAAGAAGATGAATCCTACTATAGTTAATATCAAGATGTTAGCTAATTGTCATCTTAGTAACACTCCCCAATATTAACATAGAGGAAGAAATAACTATTACTATAACTAATGTCAAGATGTTAACTAAATGTCATCTTAGTAACACTCTCCAACATTGATATAGAAATAGTATTTAAAGGAAGAATTAATATTCAAGGAAAGAAGTTAAGAAAATAACTCACAACTTTAATAATCAACAAGCTTCAAGAGCAACACCAAGAAATGGAGTCATTTGGAGGCTAAACATACTATAAAAATATAAAAGAAATACTATTCTAAACTGAGCTTAAGAGTATGAGAGAAGGAATGAATAAAAGTGAAGGAAAATGGGGCTATTTATAGGTGTTTTCCAACACCTTGGGTCGGGTACCCGACCGGGTCAAGTGCCCACCCGACTGGGTGCATGTCAAAATCAGATAATCTCCCACGTTCTTGTGTTTTAGCACGTTAAAATGTCCCAGGTCAAATCGGACCCGACCGGGTGAAGTAGGGGACCCGACCGGGTCTGGAAATTTCCTGAGCTTCTTCGTTTGTTAAATCTTACCCGACCGGGTCAAGTGTTATACCCGGTCGGGTTTCAGCTCCTGGACAGTCCAATCTCCTTTTTCTTCACTTCAAAGTCTCCCTTTCCAACACCATAATTCCTAATTCTACTCTCCAACTTACAAATGAAGATTAAAATACAATTACAACTAAAATCACACAAATGTTTACAAACTAAATAAAACGATAAACAATACACACAAGTCAAACATAAAAACATACACTTATGCACTACTAATTAATGCATATCACTCCTTATCGGGGCGATGCCTCGGGCCTCAGATCAGTAGTAGGTCGGGATAATATTCCCCAACATAGGTGTTTGGAGCTTCCAGGGCCATTTAACCGACATTGTTTTTTGAGATATCCGGTCGGGTTTATTGAGTAAGTGTCTGGAACCTTCAACTGTCACATTATACCCGATCGGATTTTTTATTTACCCGATCAGGTAAAAGACAAATCTTTGCCAAATCTTTCCCTGCATGTTAAATTGCCTCCAAATCAGATTTGATTTTTGGATCAAGACAATACATTATACCTCGTTAAATTGCCTCCAAATTTTTGGTCCGTTTCTGAGGAGCCACGAGTTTCCATACAGTTCCGTACAGTTCCGTACATTTTGGGCCGTACAGATGTGGGCGGGCACGCACGTCCTAGTTATTTTAGGGGTTAAATTTTACTCTCTATAAATACAAGTTCTTTCCTTTGTAACTTCTTGATCCGAAAATATTAATAACATTCCTGGCTTGATAGCGCCCCAGACGTAGTCATTCGTGGCGAACTGGGTTACCAAATTTCGTGTTGCGTGTTGCGTGTTCTTTATATTGTTTTTTTTATTGTTCTTCGTGTTGCGTGGGTTAATTCCTAACATGGGTAGGGGTGGGTGTTTGGGGGGGATTGGGGGTGAGGGGTTGGAATTAATTCGAAACCCCCCCCCCCCAAAAAAAATATTTTGAGTCCGGCCCAGTCCCGGTACTAACCCGGGCCAATATCGGTTAATTCCGATTTTGACCATGTTTGCGGATCTGCCATCAACCGGACCGGTTCCAGGTCCGGGTGGCTGGGTTCCGGGTCGAACCGGCCGGTCCGGTCCGATTCTGTCAACACAGGGTAGAATTTGCCGTGGCATCTATATACTCAAGAAGAGAATTGAAGAGAGAAAATTGTATTTTAATGAGCATAATGCTTTCTTATACAGAGTAGATGAGTAGTTAAGGTCAACCCTCTCTTAATATTACCATTACTAACACTTCTACACAACCCATCCAAACAAAGCTTTAGATTATCCCCTCTTCACATTTATGGAAGTACATACATAAATAAAAATCTTAACCGGAAACTTTACCAAAAATATGGGAAAATGTCCGAATGAAATCTCCAGGGATTTGTAAATAGGAGTAAATTATTTAAGAGTTAATCCCTAGACTCTTACGGTTGATTGGGTTTCCAAAGGGATGCTCATTCTTCAAGTAGACAACCAGGGATGCTCGTTCTTCAAGTAGACGACCTGTGCTTTTGGAGAAGCTCGAGGGAAGCATAGCACCTGCCTTGCGATTTTGGAAGTCTCAGAGGCATCTATAGAACTCGATTCCTTGATAACAAGTTTTTCAAGCACGGGAGAGTTTGAAAGGATTGCTTTGACAAAAAGTACTTCCTCTCTTGATGCAAGGAATGAGTCCATCTTCACAGTTTTTAGCATGCCCAGATCCTGATCAGTAAAGCCAAATTCTGGATCTTTTGAACTCCCTGAAGCAGCTTCTTTCTCACCTTGAGGAAATATCTACAGCACAAGTGAAAGAATTGATCATTGAAACATGGTTATAGCAGAAAAACAAGGGTATAGCAGATTAGCAGGCAAACTTCAAACCATACAGTTTTGGATGTTACAAAAACAGGCGGTAAATGAATTCCCAGTTCACATAGCTTTGGACATTTTTTAATCACGTGAACAACATAATTCAAGTTCCCCGTTGAAGCAAGTTCCAGCTGAATCTTTTCCAGATTTATTACAGAAGGGAACATCTCTTGCCAATTTGCTGCTCCTACTGCTGCATTACTCCCAGGCTTCAAAACAACAAAAGTATTTAACATTGAAACTATAACCATGACACAAAAATACAAAATGTAATTCTCTTAGTAACGAAGATAATGGGATATTCTCACCAAAACGTAATAGGCAGACAAGTAAAGATTCTTAATCATGGGAAGATGAAGCGCCAACCATTTCCACTTGGTCACATCCGAAAAAGGGCGTACAACCTCCACAGTCTTCAGTTTTGGAGCATTTATCAGCAAATTATTTCCAGTACAAGACGTGAGGAACAGCTCCTCAAGGTTAGGAATACAATACATAATTCCACTAGCATTACGGTCAAAATTAATAAAACAAAAACTTGCAGATTTTAAACCAGAGAATATACTACTACCCTGTGGAGCATTCACCGGGAAATCAATCAACAAAGTACCAAGTTGAAGTTTCTTAATGGTTGGGCAGGAGACTATACAAACTGGCAGATGATATCGTTCTCTACCACGAGAAAAAATAGTGAAAATAGTGAGTATAAATTCCTCAACTCCATTTCTGGATAGAAATAGGCACCATCGATCTATATCAGATTGAAGAGGGATTGGACCGTGTTTCCAGATATGTAACCGGAATTTCTTAACAGGCCCAGAACGAAGAGAGAGAATGTTGGTAATCATATTCCCAAAGGAAGCCGAGGGTTCACCTCTTTTTTCGACTAGCGATTCGTGAAATTTCCAATCGAAGAAAAGCCGGCCATGACTAAGCCAAACATCCTTCCATATAGTTGAGAGCAGAGCTGTTCGGGCAGCGGATCGAGTGTCTAAGAACTCCAAAACTCTGTCCTTAACATCTGCTGGCAATTGGCTGATTCTATCTTCCGATGCAGCTTCATGTCGACGAAGACGGCCGGCCATTAGAAAGGAATTCGTCTGGAATGGTTAGGGTTTTTCCAAGGGAAGGAGCTTTGTTGAAGCTAAGTAGCAAGTACCGAATTCTATTTCCCAGAGGGAAAAGGGGTAAATCTACAGTGTATGTGGAAGTGGAGATACAGAAGTTCTGGTCAAACCATGTGCATTATGGATTGTCGCTTTTGACAAATTGAGCCAGCCACAAGCTATTACTACGTACCCGAGTACTTCGTATTACCTTTTGCAAATTTCAAAGGTAACTACGGGATGGTTTTTAACAATCTACTCCCTCAATGATAAAAATAAAAAAAAAAACAATCTACTCCCTCCGTTGCTAAAAACTTTTCCCGGTTTGACTAGGCACGCCTATTAAGAAAGTGGAATAAAGTGAAAATGTGTGGTTGTGGTTGTGTGAGAAAAAGGTAAAATGAATGTGAGCCACACAAATTGTCCAAAAAAGGAAGGTGGGAAGAATTTTTGGGAACGACCCAAAAAGGAAAGTGAGAAGTATTTTTGGGAACCAAGGGAGTATGTTTCACCTTATCTACACTTGTCCATGAATAGAATCTGGGCCGGGACCTAATGTCCCAGACTCGGACTCGTTAAGTTATAATGAATCCGGATCCGACCCATTTATCCGATGTGTCTGAATTTTTTTAGTCAGACCCAGATCTAATTGGTCTCGGGTAGACCAATCAAGTATGATATGCACAACATTATAAACTTTTTAAAAATAACAAGACCTGTATATGAAATCTAAAACAAAGTGCACAAACTTAAAAAGTAAAATATATTTTCACTTTTCAAGATTTATTATAGAAAACTAGTATTTTTATCTAATAAAGTATCAGTTTTGTAGAGAGATATAACTTCACACTCTGTGTCACTTTCGATCTCTCGACTCAGAAAATTGTAGAATAAACTAAAAATTAGGTCACAAAAAGGTCTATTGAACTACTTTAGTATAAAAGTATATTATATTAATAATACTAATACTAATAAATATTGGGTTTTGCCTTGAATAGGAGTAATTTGTCAAATTTAGAAAAAATGTCATGTTTAAAGCTTTGTAATGTCAAACTTCGCAGAAATGTACTCCTATTCGACGAATAAAAAACATGATAGTCCTATTTTGGAATTTCAAAACGTTTTTACTCTTATTTAGGGAATTCTTTCCAGCGAATTTTGTTAGAAAGCCGCCACTGCAAGTGAAAAGCCGCCCCTTCAAGTGGCGGCTTTCCTTAACCACGGTTAATCCAGCAGTATTTTGGGAATTATTTTTAACTCTGCAATATTTTGAGAATTATTTATTTAGTTAGCATTATTCTGGGAAAAAACTCATTATTTAAAAGAAAAGTTCCCGAAATAGGACTAAAACAGTTTGAAAATTCCAAAATAGGACTGTCATGTTTTTATTCCCAAAATAAAGGTAATTACTGCCAAGTTTGAACTTTGAAAAATATTGTCATGATTGAAGTCTCCTACTTCCAAAACATGACAGTAATTAGTCATATTTTGAGAATAAAAACATGACAGTCCTATTATGGAATTTTTAAACCGTTTTAGTCCGATATTATTCTCTTATTTAAATTACAATATAGTGTTTTTTATATGCCTAATTTATCCTAGCCACTTATAACGGCCATTAGATTCCCTTTGACCCAAAACTCCTTCCGCATATGAAACTCTCGTTGATGCTTCCTGCCATTTTTAATTCCATCATCTCCTTTGTAAATCCTTTCTGTCAAACCTCTCACTGTAAACTTGGAGGACAGGGTCGTCAAAACGTAGCTCCCAGTCCCAGAACAAAACCCAGAGACCATAATCTCGTTCGCTTGGAACTTGGAAGCACCGTATTCTGTTATCAATTATCATGGATTTATGACGATGATGATCGAAGATGTATGTAGTTACGTACGAATGCCATTACTTGATTACTTCTGATCTTCAAGTTTACATGGCCCCCTATGTCAATACGAAAATTATCAATCACAGAACTAATCAATACACGTAAAGTATAAAACTCCAATCAATACATTAGTTACTAAAAATCACTAAAGCAGTTATGCTCCGGACTATAAAGGAGAGCGCTGTCTATGTCCATCTACACGGTGTGTCTATGTTAGTAGGGATGTCATTTTTCATGAAAATGTTTTTCCTTATCCTTTCTTGATATCATCACATTCTTCCCCGTTGCCTGCTTTATCTCAATCTTGGCTGTCTACCTCGACCACAAATTACCCAGCCTCGGTCCAACCTGTGAGAATTATTGGGAAAAGGTGCTCCAATAGAAGTCCTGGCAGGTGTATTTATAATGAGGGAGTTCAACCTACAAAAGGAAACAAATATTCCTAAATACTCCGTATATTCTATTACACCCCCTCAAACTGTGCGGGAGAAACAACGCGCAGGTTGTCTTTCAAAAAATGAAATTGCTGACTAGAAAGGCTTTTAGTAAAAATGTCAGCTAGCTGTAACTGTGTTGGAATATATTTCACACTCAAATCTCCATGCGCAACGCGTTCTCTGACAAAGTGATAGTCAATCTGAATATGTTTGCTACGAGCATGTTGAACAGGATTAGCAGTCAAGTAGGAAGCAGAGACGTTATCACAGAATAACTGAACAGGAACTTTGACCGGAAAGCCGAGCTCAAATAGGATAGAACGAATATGTAAAGTATCCTGGACAGTGTAAGCAACAGCTCTATATTCAGCTTCTGTGGAAGACTTGGAGACTGTAGGCTGCTTCTTGGATTTCCAAGAGACCAGGTTCGGCCCTAAAAAGACAGCAAATCCAGTCGTGGAGCGAGATGTATCTGGACAACCAGCCCAATCAGCATCAGAATAGGCAATAATACATGTTGCCTGTGTAGTTGGGCTCAACCATAAGCCATGATCCAAGGTCCCCTGCAAATACCTGAAAATTCTCTTGACTGCAAACATATGAGTAGTACGAGGAGCATGCATAAACTGAGATACTAAATGGACAGCATAGGTAATATCAGGTCTTGTCAAAGTTAAATACTGTAACGCACCAACCATACTACGATACTCAGTTGCATCTGCAAGGAGTTCGCCATCAGTGAGAGAAAGAGAAGTGCGAGTAGCAAGAGGTGTACGAACAGGCTTAACTGTATTCAGATGAAATCGGGAGAGAAGATCAGACACATATTTGTGTTGAGAGAGAAACAAACCTTTGTCAGAACGTTTGGCCTGGACTCCAAGAAAATAATGAAGATCACCTAGATCCTTCATAGCAAAATGCTGAGCAACGAGATGAATAAAGGATGCAACAAGAGAGGACGAGTTGCCAGTAACAATAATGTCATCAACATATAATAATAAATAAATGACACAATTATTCTGACGATATGTGAACAAAGAATTGTCAGACTTGCTGCATGTAAAATGATGAGACAATAAAAAACTACTAAAACGATGGAACCATGCCCGCGGGGCCTGCTTAAGTCCATAAATGGCTTTCCGCAGGCGACATAAATGATTAGGAAACAAGGGATGAGTAAAACCCCGCGGTTGACGCATATATACCTCCTCAGTGAGGTGACCATGCAAAATGCATTTTTAACATCTAACTGACGAATAACCCACCCAAAAGAAATAGCTAAAGTAAGAACAATCCGAACTGTGGTGGGTTTAATAACTGGACTGAAAGTTTCAGAAAAATCTACACCAGCCTGCTGATTAAACCCCTGAGCAACTAGGCGAGCTTTATGGCGCTCAATAGACCCATCAGAATTATACTTAGTCTTATAAATCCACTTAGAGCCCAAAACATTTTTAGTGTTGTCAAACGGGACTAATTCCCAAGTATTATTAGAAATAAGAGCATTAAATTCCTCTGCCATCGCCTCACGCCACTTTAAATGTTTATTTGCCTCTGAGAAACAGGTGGGATCTGCTGATAAAACAACTGTATTTAAATTAAAAATGGTTTTGGGTTTAAAAATACCCGACTTAGCCCGAGTTTGCATTGGATGAATATTAGGAGGGGAGGAGGGTGGACTGGCCGTGGACTGAGAGTGTATCGGGCTAGCATCAGGGGCGGGGGCGGTTAGCACAGAATCTGGTGGTGGGGAATGCTGGACTGGCGGGGAGGGTGGTGATGAGGGATGGTCTGTGAAGTGTGGTGAAGACTGGTCTTCGGTGAGTGGTGTGGTCTGCTGAGTTGGAGTGTGGTCAACGGGTGGTAGTAGTGAAGTCTGGGCTTGTGGTGGCATGGTGCATTTCAGTGGGGATTTAGAATGGGTGCTAGATGTTAAATTGGGAAAATCGGGGAGAGATGGGTTTTGAGAATGGTTGCTGGATTCGAAGTTGGGAAAATCAGGGAGACATGGGGCTGGTGAGGTTACAGACATGGTGTTTGGTGGGAGAAACTCAGGCAGTGTAGAAGAACGGGTAGCATTGGTAGAAGAAGACAAAGTGGTGAATGGAAAATTATTTTCATGAAATCTAACATGTCGACTAATAAAAATCTTACCAGAAATTGGCTCAAAACAGCGATAGCCTTTAAAACCAGATGCATAGCCAAGAAAGACACACTGAACAGAACGAGGAGATAATTTATTGGAGGAAGAGGCAGAAAAATTAGGATAACATGCACACCCAAAAACACGTAATAAACTATAGTCAGGCTGTTTTTGAAAAAGTTTTTCGTAGGGAGAGAGACCAGAAAGTGTTGGAGAAGGAAGTCGGTTCACAATATAAACGGCAGTAAAAATGGCATCAACCCAAAAGGTGCTAGGAATAGAGGCAGTAATAAGCATAGTCCTAGTCAGCTCAAGGAGATGCCGATGTTTACGTTCAGCAACTCCATTTTGTTGGGGAGTATAGGGGCAAGATTTTTGAAAATAAATCCCATTTTCCGACAAAAAATTTTGCATGTTAAAATTAACAAACTCACCCCCTCCATCACTTTGAAAGACTTTAATTTTTGAATTAAACAAGTTCTCCACTACAGCCTTGAACACACGAAAGTGACTGAAAACTTCATGTTTTGTACGCATCGGATATAGCCACGTAAAACGGGAAAAATCATCAATGAAGCAGACATAATATTTAAAACCTAGGTTTGACAAAACAGGAGACTGCCATACATCAGAATGAATTAATTGTAAAGGAAAAGAAGAATTATGACTAGCATCTGAAAAAGGTAATCGTTGAGATTTGCCTAAACGGCAAGAAAC